CAGACTAGAGGTTCCAAAGAATCAAGTCAAAGATTTGAAATACAAGGAAGCAAAAATCACCCAACCAGAAGAGCAAAAAGAAAAAAGAATCCAAAAATATGAGGATAGTGTAAGGAGCCTCTGGGACAACTTCAAGCGTACCAACATCCGAATTATGGGGGTGCCAGAAGTGAGAGAGCAAGATACTGAAAACCTATTTGAAGAAATAATGACAGAAAACTTCCCCTACCTGGTGAAAGAAATAGATTTACAAGTCCAGGAAGCGCAGAGAACCCCAAACAAAAGGAATCCAAAGAGGAACACACAAAGACACATCATAATTAAAATGCCAAGAGCAAAAGACAAAGAGAGAATCTTAAAAGCAGCAAGAGAAAGATAGTCAGTTACCAACAAGGGAGTACCCATACGACTGTCAACTGATTTCTCAACAGAAACTATGCAGACCAGAAGGGAGTGGCAAGAAATATTCAAAGTGATGAATAGCAAGAATCAACAACCAAGAATAATAGCAAGAATCTACCCAGCAAAGCTATCATTTAGAATTGAAGGTCAGATAAAGAGCTTCACAGATAAGAAAAAGCTAAAGGAGTTCATCACCACCAAACCAGTATTATATGAAATGCTGAAGGGCATTCTTTAAGAAGAGGAAGAAGAAAAAGGTAAAGATAAAAAATTATGAACAACAAAGTGACAACAAATACATATCAACAAGTGAATCTAAAAATCAAATGAATAAAAAATCTAACAGAATAAACTGGTGAATAGAATAGAATCAGGGACATGGAAATGGAACAGCCTGACGATACTCAGAGGGAAGCAGGTGTGGGAGGGTGCGGGAAGAGATTAGACCAGTGATGACACGTGAACTCATTTTTTTGGTTGATTTTTCTTTGTTAAATGGAATTTAGACATATAAAATAAATATCAAAAAATAAGTCTTTGTTTTACTATGGTTGCAAATATCAAAAAATTTCTATATGTGACACGGCACCAGAGTTAAGTTAGGGTTTTTCAAAATGCTGACACGCTGAGCTCAATAGGTTCGCCATTCCTGGATTAGACAAAGATCTTATATGCATGTGTGCAGTACCTGTGGACACAGACAATAGGGTGACGAGGGCCTGGGGTGGGGTGGGAACTGGGTGAAGGGGAGCTATGGGAGGAAAAAAGAGGGACATCTGTAATAATCTCAACAAGAAAGAGTAATTTTTAAAAAAATGCTCTGTCAATTTTCTTCACTTCTTGTGTTTCCAACAACGTACTCCCATTGGTTTCTTCCCCTCAGCTGTGACCAATGTGCTCGCTTCTTTCTTAGTCCTGGTGTTCATCCCCAGAAGTCATCCTGGCCTCCACCTTCGCCTTACCAAAACTTCCTAGTGTTGTCCAACTCCAAGGCATTTTCAACCCAGGCACTCCGCGACCTCTTCACAATGAAGAGTCCTTCCATCTTGAATTCTCCCCCCCTCAGGTTCTGTGTTTCCATCATCTCCTGCTTCACCTGGACGTCTCGGGTCACTCTCTGTGCCTCCTTTCCCTCTGCCTGCTCCTCAAACGTTATAAGCTCTCAATGCTCAGCTGTTGGCTTCATCCTTACTCTCAAAACTCGTTCTGGGCAGAACTAACCCATACCTATTTATACTCCAACAATTCTTAAATCACTATGTCGGGCCCAGACCTCTCTCCATATGTTAACTATTTAATGGATAGCTCCACTTAGAGGTCCCATAAGCACTCCAAACGCAGTGTGTCCAAACCAAAATTGTCATTTCCACCCCATCCCACCATGAAATCCACTGCATTCTTCCTATTCTCTCTATTGCTAATCCTTCCACCTCTTTCCCTTGGCATCCATTCCCAAGCCCATTTTACCTCCTAAATATTCCCATCTCCCTTCCTTTTCTAGCTCCACTGCCATTTTCCAGGTCAGACCCTCATTTTGTGCCTGACAACTGCAGCAGTCTCTACCAACTTTCCTCACCGAGTCACATAACCCTCCAGTCAGTCTCTCATCCACACTGCGGCCAGAGGGATTTTCTAACTGGTAATATGATCATCTCATTCCTCTGCTCCACATTTTCTCATGCTTCCTGATCTCCTACAAGGAGAGACAAAGACCTAGATGGCATATGGTTTCTGATTTCTTACAACTCCCCCTTCATACTTATTTCCCAGGAATACTCAGAAGTCAGTGTCCTCTGCACTGGTTGTTCATAGCAAATTCTTGTCTCAAACTCTTCTTCTGTAAAGACTTCCCGAACCTTCACAATCTTTTTTTTTAAACCCTCAGCTGAGGATATGTTCTTACAGATTTTGTTTTCTTTTTAGAGAGGGAGGGAGGGAGGAAGGGAAGAAAGGAAGGAGAGAGAGAGAGAGAGAGAGAGAGAGAGAAAGAGAGAGAGAGAGAGAGAGAGAGAGAGAGAAAGAGAGACAGAGAGAGAGAGAGAGAAAGAGAGAGATCATTTGCTTCCTGTACGCGCCCCAACTGGGGATTGAACTCGTAACCTAGGTATGTACCCTGGCCGGGAATCAAACCCGTAGCCTTTTGGTGTACAGGACAATGCCCAATCAACTGAGCCACCTGACCATACTCTTGACCACATGGACAGAGAGCCTTCTTCTCTAGTATTGTCATAAACTTTCTATATGTTCCTCTTAAAGCAATTTTTATTTTTCTACTATAGTTGGGGTTTTTGTTGTTGTTGTTTTTTAAATATATTTTTTCAGAGAGAGGAAGGGAGAGGGAGAGAGAGAAACATCAATGATGAGAGAGAATCATTGATTGGCTGCCTTCTGCACGCCCCCTACTGGGGATTGAGCCCGCAACCTGGGCATGTGCCCTTGACCGGAATTGAACCCGGGACCCTTCAGTCTGCAGGCCGACGCTCTGTCCATTGAGCCAAACAGGATAGGGCTATAGTTGGGTTTTTTAAACTGGTGGTCTTGAGAACAAAGTGTGATGGCTCCTCAAAAGGTCAGCCATTCACAACTTGTGGTTCCCAAAATAATTCATTTTATTATTTAATAAATAGAAATATGCTTACAGTGATCATATTTTTCAGGCTTAAACAGGAAAAATAAACTTCAATGTAATAAGATATTTGAGACGATAACTTCCCTGAAAAATCTGGGACAAATAGTAACTTTCAGTACTACAGAAAGTTTACAGCCAAACTCCTTATTGTTACATCTTCTATAACTACTTATCACCACTTCTTCCTATCTTCCATTCCTCTTACAAATATGTACAAAATAAATAAAATGGATGGGGGAAAATAAAAATTGTATGGCTTCCCTTCAATCTTTAAAAATGCATTTTTTGGGTCCCCCCCTTCCCCTTTTTCTACTATAGTTGTTTGAATGCCTGCCTTCTATATTATCAGCAATTTACGGGGAAGGTTGTGACTTTGTTTCATAGCACCATGCCGTCTTAAGGTAGGCACCTGAATATTGTACTTCTTGATCCCTGGATATAAGGAGCTTGCAATCTACTTAGGGAAAGCAGTTATGTTCATGGTAAAAGTTAAGTAACAATACTCTGCAGTATAAAATCATTACAGTATCTATTTCAAAACTTTGCCTGAACAATAGCATTACCTTGGGATCTTTCAAATATTCTGAAGTCCACGCTACACCCCAGCCCAGTGAAACCACAAGCTGTGGGAGTGGAACACAGGCATCAATGTGTTTTAAAGTTCCACATGAGAGTGTAATGTGCAGCAAGTGCGGGAAACACTCACTAACGGAACGAGCAGCTATGAAAGACTGTAGGAGGGTCCGGTTTAAGCTAGTCCATTGGTGTTCAAGTGGTTCAAGCTGTAGAACGTCTGGAAGTGACAGTACAGTCCTTGGCATACAGCATGCCCTCTCTCTCTCTCTCTCTCTCTCTCTCTCTCTCTCTCTCTCTCTCTCTCTCTCTCTCTCTCTCTCTCTCATGCCTTCACCCATGTTATTCCTACTGCAAAAAAACCTACAGTTCTTCACTGGGCAACTTTTACTTCACTCAAATCCTTCCTCCCAACTCTCTCAGGCAGAAATGGGGTCTTCTTCCACAATCCTCCCACTAAACTTTGTATTTACTCCTTTTAAAGCAGAAGTATATGAGCTAAGACACTATAAGTCACAGCACCAATTTAATAACAGCTTTGGGATTATATAAAACATTCTACTAAATTAAATGCATCTATGTGTGTTTACACTCTGAGTTCAGAGAAGTTAAATCAGGCTTAGAATCAAGGAAATACAGTATGTTTAATATTCCCATATGAACTAAATGCAATTTTACAAGCTAAGCAAAAATATGACTATACTGTGTATTTTAAGTTTTAAAAATAACATTGGTGTATGGTTGGCTCATCATTACAAATTTGATTATACTCTTAGGACAAATTTTTCTTTTAATCCTCACCCGAGGATATTTTTTTCCATTGATTTCTAGAGAAAGTGGAAGCGGGGGGAGGAGGAGGACGAGGAAGAGGATGAGGAGGAGAGAGAGAAACATCGAGGTGAGAGACACATGGATTGGTTGCCTCTCGCACCCTCCCGCACGAGCCCCCACCAGGACTGGGGAACCTGCAACCTAGGCAGGGTGCCCTTGACTGGGATTCAAACCTGAGTCCCTTCAGTCCACAGGCTGACACTCTAACCATTAAGCCAAACCGGCCTATTGTTAGGGCAATTTAAACATTTTCTTAAATTCAAGTTACCTGAAAAATATTACAAAGCTGCTCTGGAGCATCATCCCATATACCAAAGGCTGCGGTTTGATCCCAGGTCGGGGTGCGTACGGGGAGCAACGAATTGATATTTCTCTCTCACGCAGATGTTTCTCTCTCTTTCTCTCTCTCTCTCTTTCTCCCTCCCTCCCTTCCTCTCTCTCTAAAAATCAATAATAGCATATCCTTGGATGATTGTTAGGGGGAAAAATATTACAAAGCTTTCCCAAAATGAGGAAGAAATTATCATATATTAATAGCATATATATGAAAAATAAAATTGCTTACCTGAGTAGTGAATAAGGCTGTGTTTGAAAGATCAACAAATCATTACAGTGACCCTAATCAACATAAAAAGAAGTTATCAAGGTTTTTGATAAAAATAACTGCATTAAAAGCTAACATGATGATATTCTAGTTATTGCTGGGTCAGTGGTTCTCAACCTTCCTAATGCCGCGACCCTTGAATATAGTTCCTCATGTTGTGGTGACCCCCAACCATAAAATTATTTTCATTGCTACTTCATAACTGTAATTTTGCTACTGTTATGAATTGTAATGTAAATATCTGATATGCAGGATGTATTTTCATTGTTACAAATTGAACATAATTAAAGCATAGTGATTAATCACAAAAACAATATGTAATTATAATGTGTTTTCCGATGGTCTTAGGCGACCCCTGTGAAAGGGTCGTTCGACCCCCAAAGGGGTCGTGACCCACAGGTTGAGAACCACTGTGCTAGGTAGAAAATTTCATGAGTACTTACTACACTAAGTACTAATATACATTATATATTCATATGTATCAAATATTACTTACAAGCATTTTAATTCCATAAAATTATAAAAGCTCTTCTTAATAATTTGATTAATGAAGTTAATAGCCCTATTTTGATTTGTAAACCAACAATATCCTAAATGCTTCTACACAGCCACTTATTCTGAAGATTAGTCACACCACAGAGGCCCATTTCATGCCTTCCATATTTTGCAATGTGAGAGATGTGCATAATTGAATAACCATTTAGGGTGACTAACACAATTACTCAGAGGAAATATTTAGATAGGAAATTTTCTTACTGTATCCAAGGAAAGTAAATCATCTTTGCTCCCACCAAATACCATTATTTCATTTTCTTTTCCCAAACAGGCTGTGTGCCATAACCTATGATTGAGAAGTATAAATAGAGTGAAATACTACCAAGGAAGAAGCTGTATATCACATATTAATCAATTTTCAATTGCACACTCTAAAATGTAATCTCTTTCAAAAGAGGATAGATTTTAAACATTCCTCTAGAACAGTGGTTGGCAAACTCATTAGTCAACAGAGCCAAATATCAACAGTACAACGATTGAAATTTCTTTTGAGAGCCAAATTTTTTAAACTCAAACTATCTAGGTAGGTACATTGTTATTAACTTAATTAGGGTACTCCTAAGCTGGCCTTTGCTAAAAACGTCCTCAATCTGGTACGTTTGCTGAGGTCGACCCCTTCCAACTCTCCCATCCACACTCGTCTTGTATACTTGTTTCATCTACCTCCTTTCCAAAAACCGACTTCTGCGCATGGGCCACGAAGTTTCAATCACACTGTACGTGCGCGCCCGCACGTGGTATTTTGTGGAAGAGCCACATTCAAGAGGCCAAAGAGCCGCATGTGGCTAGTGAGCCGCGGTTTGCTAACCACTGCTCTAGAATCATCAGAGGATTCGATTCTAGAGTTCATTAAATCATATAATTTCAATTAAAGAGATGACCCCCAATAACTCTTTCCCATTATATCCCCCAATCTTTTACTAATCTCTTTATCACATAGGTATTGAAATATTTTAGTCACAAAATGAAATAATTTAAAAAAATATAGCTGGGTGTGGCTCAGTGGCTGAGCATTGATCCAGAAACCAAGAGGTCACCAGTTCGATTCCTAGTCAGGGCATATGCCTGGGTTGCAGACTCAATCCCCAGAAGGGGGCATGCAGGAGGCAGCCAATTGATGATTTTTTTCTCATCATTGATGTTTCAATCTCTCTCTCCCTCTCCCTTCCCCTCTGAAATCAATAAAAATGTATTTAAAAAAATAAAAATAGAAATGAACTGACCAACAGAAATAGCCACCTTTCCCATTCTTTTTCTTACTATCTGCCATCTTACTGCCCTCATCATTTTTGACTCTTTCTTTCCTGCTCTCTCTGCCCCCATCACCTGACAAATCCAATTTGGCATTTTCTTTTCATTTACATTGTCACACTATCACTCTGGGTACAGAATACCATACATGTTCCTCTTTTTTCTGCCTCCAATCTTTCTCACTATATAGCTGCTATTTAATATTTTTAAGATGACATTTCCTGATCACAAAGCACCTGTGCCATTTTTCTTCTCCTAATATTTATGACCAACAGCTATTTCTTTTTCCTATAAAACTAACTCTTGCCCCTCCCCAAATGAACCTTCTCTTCAGCCAACTTCATCTACTTGCATCCCTAAGAGTGAAGCTTAGATGTCTCTAGGCTTTTGTTCACCCGATTTCCTAGTCTAGAATGAGAAGTCACTCTCTCGGGGCCTTAAAAAAAGACTCAAAATTCCCAAATGCAACCCAAACTGGCTCTGTCACCCTCTCTATTCCGCATCTGTCAACATTTTGTGCTCATTTTATAATCTATCTTACATTTGAAGATAAACTCCTCTATATACTGCTTTGGTTGATGTATGTGTCTTTACCTCCCCACAAAAACTCTAAGATCCTTAAGGCCAGACGTTGCCACCATAGTGTGCTGGCGCTAGTTTGTCGGCTCGTTAAAGCCAGCTGGGCACATCGCTATCCAGCTCCCTGTTCAGTGACACGCTGGTAGCTTGAAATGGCCATGGTGGAAATCAGCAAATGCTACAAATTAGGGCTTTTTCTGGTTTGTTTTTATGGGAAGCAGTGTAAACTGTTTACCAGCACATCACTGGAATTTGGGTAACTGAATTTTATGCTTCTCTTTCAAAATGCCCACTATGGTGTTCTGCATCCAGTAGTAGACCAAAAACTTTTGATTAACAAAAGCAAACACAAAATGCCAGCATAATTTATTCAGTAATTAAATAAACAAATCATTCACCAAGGAGTGGAGCATCTAATGTGTTTTTTAAAATGGTGTGATAGCTCATATCCATCTTCAGTTTCACAGTATTTACCAAGAATCGTTTCATGGTTTTAAAAAGTTCAATATTTCTCGGGGCTCAAACTCTCAGAAAAAAAGTACACATAAATTTCTCAATTTTAAAAATAAATTGAGGGTTTATAAATTCATTGCTTTGATTTTGAGAGTACTTTGATTACTTCTCTTAACACACCAAATTGCTGATGCAACAGATTCTACAATTACATTAATTACTTATTTTATTATCACATAACTTATTTTTAGCACATTAATCCTTTTACTTAACTTCCACAAGTGCAAACAGTGGGATTATGCACAATTTGTTAAATCAATTCCTTTCCTCAAACAATCATGACACAAGCAATGACAAAAGCACCAGGGACCCAGGATAGAACTGAGTCAGTAGAGACTTTGTTTGGGAAATACTCTGCCCAATTCTCCAACTTGTATGTTAGACCATGCTTTGATATAAATCATCCGTAACACCCAGATTATGTTGCGAAGTCAGAAAAGGGGACGGGGAGAGAGATTGAGTAAAGGAGATGGAATATGATGAAGTCCTCACATGTGGGAGAGAACAGCCTAACTTACTGGTGAGAAGGTCACATAACCTTGGCAATGCTCACGGGGTACAATAGTACCTACGGCTCTGAAGACCAGCTCCTAGTCAGACATCTTTTAGACATTTAAGAAAGTTCTTTGCTGACAGCTATCTACACAGAGGATCAGATATGGCTAGATAGGTGGCTTCTCAACCAAGCATCGTTTTGTCTAAGGTGAGACCTGTAGAAGAGAGTGCAACACTGTAGGGTCTCAACCAGTGGCAATTCTGTCCCCATAGGGACATCTGACAATATATGGAGATATTTTGGGTCATCACAACTCCAGGTTGGGTGGGGGCAGTACTACTGGCATCTTGTGGGTAGAGGCCAGATGCTGTTAAACATCCTCCAATGCATAGGACGCCTCTTAAAATAAATAATTTGGTCCAAAATGTCAATAGTGCTGAGGTTGAGAAACCTGCTGTAGAATTACAAGAGGAGAATTGGGCAGCTTACATTTCAAATTATAGCTTGGAGAAGTTTGCACAAAATGCACATAGATGTTAAGTACATTCTCACTTTTATAAAAAAAATTAGTATATACACACATATATGTTCTCCTTACACTAAACTGTATCCCACCTGTTCTCCTCCTCACCTCATACCTGAAGATAGCTCTGCCTCTGTCTTATCTGCCTTATGGAAACTCTGGCCTGGACTGCAGCATCGGAGAACACTGGAAAGCCTTTCCTGCCTGGATTTTGGTGACATCTAGCTTGCAACCTGATGTTTTCCTACAGACTGACAGTTTCTGTCCTCTCACAGCTGCTCTAAACTTATCACCTAAACATGCTAATAAAGCATATTATTTACATGACACATAGCTGAATTAAAAAAAATCTCTTTACATAGCTCAGTTCTAACTAGTATATTATTGATCATAGTTGTATTACTTTAATCATTAAGGATTTAAATATAAAATAGCAATTTAAAAATTAAACATTCTTTCTACCACTTTAGTCTATAATTAATGCATTCATATAATCAAGCAAATGGAAGAGAACAAAGAGCTTATCTAGTCCAAGTCCCTCATTTCACAGATGAAGAAAATGATGCTCAGTTTCGTAAGTGACTTTCCCAAAGCCAAAATGCGAACTAGTAGCTGAGCAAGGACTAGAATTCTGAGCTCCTATATCTTAATATAAAACTCTTTAAGTTAAAATACACATTACAAAAGATCCAGAATTGCTAAAGTAATATATTCCAATGAATTTTTATATATAAAAATATAAGGATCATATATATAATTATGATAAACTCTAAATATATTATGCATATTAACATAGAGATATAAAATGAGATATATTAAATATTTTCAGGTCTCTTTCTCAAGTTACTTGTTATATATTAAATTACTGAAATGCATGTCATTAAGTTGACTTCACATTAGTATAAATAATCTATAGTAAAAAAACTGAGAAACATGGCATGAAAAAGAATAAAATCTATTACTAACTATAATAATTATAATGTGCTAAATTTGAATTTCCTATGAATATATCTTTATTATACCATCAATCATATTAGAAAAAAAATAAGAATGACAGTAGTGTCTGGCCAGTGTGGCTCAGTGGCTGAGCATTGGCCCATGAAACAAGAGGTCACCCGTTTGATTCCTGGTCAGGGCACATGCCCAGGTTGCAGGAGGCAGCTGATTGATGTTTTTATCTCTCTATCCCTCTCCCCTCCTCTCTCTCTCTCTAAATATCAATAAAAACATATTTTTTAAAAAAGCATTATAGTATTAATATGGTTCTTTGTAGTCTAATAATAGTATATTGTTTCTACAATTTTTTGTAGAAAATTATACTCTATAATATACCACAAATAACTAACATGTTTTTTTAAAAAATTCACATTAATAAACATTAAGATAGTTTAATACAGAAAAATAATAACCTGCCATCTACTTGATCAACATAAAAGCAAATTCCCCATTAAGTTGCTCTCAACCTCTTCCATCAACAAGTAACTATTGCTAAAGCCATCCTCATTCTTGTCTACTTACTAAAAATAGTAACATTCTATACTTTCAATTTCGTAAGCCTTTTCGTATTTATCAGGTAAGATTATGCATTTACCTAAAAGAATAATAGTTTCAAATATGCAAATATGGGTAGAAACTGAATAGATAATTTCTAACAATCAGATATCATTTAAATGATAATTAAATTATTTATGTAATATCAAGCTTATTTGAAAGACATCCTTCCTGGTGATTTATGGTTTTAATGGCAAACACTATAAATTCAGTGCTATATTTTAATACTTTAAAAATTCTTAACTATTTTACTATTTATCAACTTCGAAACTTACCTGGGTCTTGTTTTAGGTAAATATGTCAGTTGTTTCCAACAATTTGTTATGACATTATGAATCCAACCATCACCTGCAATATTGTGACAGTTCAAAAATTAAGATTAGGTCTTTGGAATAAAATTTTGATTTTTATCCAAATTTATCACGCTGCATTTATGCAGCTATCTAATGTGTATGTATATTTTCTCATAAAAATTTTCAGAGATATACAAAAGTAGAGTAAACATAACAATGAACTCACACATACCCCAGACTCAACAACTATCCAGATTTTGTCATATGTGCTCCATTTATTTCTTTTTATTATTGTTGTTATTCAGTTATTCTAAAGCAAATTCTAAATCTTTGATTATTTTCCCCATACATACTTCAGTAAGCATTACTTTAAAAAAATTGATTTTGTTTACATACCTACAACAGCTTTGTCACATAACTACAATGCCATTATCACAGTCAACAAAACTAAAAATTATTTCTTAGTATTATGTAAGACACATATGACCACATCTTAAGCTGAATCTATAAAGGAGGAAATTGACTGGACTAAGAGTTAGGGCATTTACAGATGGGTACTATACTTATCAGGGTGATCACTTTTTCTACACTTGAAACTAATATAATAGTGTATATCAACTATAATTGCAAAATAAGTTAATTTAAAATAAAAAAAACACTTTTTAAAGAATTAGGACACTTAATTCCCCATAGGTCAAAGACCAAAAACCAGCACATAGGAGTTAAACACAATAATGCTGCCCAGCAAGTATGGCTCAATGGTTAAGCGTCAACACATGAACTAAGAGTTCACCGGTTCAATTCTCAGTTGGGCACATGCCTGGGTTGCAGCGCTATCCCCAGTGAGGGGCATGCAGGAGGCAGCCAATCGATGTTTCTCTTTCATTGATGTTTCTATCTCTCTATCTTCTCCCTTCCTCTTTCTCTAAAATCAATAAAAACATATTTTTTAAAAAGAAAGTAAAAACACTAATGGCTCATGAAGATATGACATTAAACAACCTCTACTGAAATGGGTAAATGTTAGCTTTTTTATTAGATTCCAAATCTTTCTTTTTTTCTTTTTTTTTTTTGTTAATCCTCACCCAAGGATATTTTTTCATTGATTGTTTTAGAAAGAGTGGAAGGGAGAGGGAGAGATAGAGAGAGAAAACACTGACATGAGAGAGACACATAGATTGGTTGGTTGCCTCCCACACGCGCCCTGACCAGGGCCTGCAACCAAGATACACGCCCTTGATCGGAATCGAATCTGGGACCCTTCAGTCCATGGGCCAATGCTCTATCCACTGAGCCAACCCGGGTAGGGTAGATTCCAAATCTCTTTTAATTAAAATGTCCAAAAACTGAAGAAGCATAATATTCTGCAACAGTTAACACCCCCTACTAGGAACTGCTGTTTCCAATCAACCTCTGGAGTTTGTTGGCCAGCAGACTGCAATATACACAGCTGATGCTCAATAAATTTTTTAAAAAAGATATAGTTTTTTCCAAATCCTATATAAGATTATAGAAATTGTTTTCATTGTATATAAGTTATCTTAACGAAAACATCTCTAGCCATAGAAAACTTTTGAGTTAAGAAAATACTAGTACACAACATTTAGCATGTCAAACTAAGAAATGGATATTCTTGGTCTATCCTGACGGCATAATTTTACTGCGGAAAGAAAAACTGCATTTCAAAACCTTTGGGATCAGCAGTGACAGGAGTTTTAAAAATTTTAGCTAATCACTTTCCTTTATAGTTTGGGAACAAAGAAAGAAGCAACAGGCCTTCCCACCTCATGTTTCCAGAGCATTCTGGAAAGGCTGCTCTTCTAATCTCCATTCCAGCCTACAGTATAAGCATCTGGATGAAAAATCAGGAGGAGATAGAATCGTAGGCTACTGTAGTTGAAAGGGGCTTTAATTCACCTAGGTTCAACCACCCCTCCTTCTCTCTACACCTAGGAACAGGAGAACATCGAGAGCCCAGGCCACAGAAGCAAAGGGGTCTTCCAGTTCCAATGCTCAGTGCGAGCATATAGTGGGGGATAAAATAAAGGTAAAGCATAAAGTCAGAAAAAGAGGACTATACCTTAAGTATAAAATACAACTTAGAAAAAAAAAAAGATAATAACTGTAGGCTACACATGATTCACTTACTTAATGGAATATTGTCCGCACTTAGTCCACCAAATAAGAAAAGCTTATCATCAGCTATTGGTGTTAGAGTATGCCATGATCGATGTTTAGGGTTTTCTCCATTAATAGGAATCCTGTGGCAAAAATATAAATATAAAAATCTAGGTGCTGTGTTAGTTAAAATAAATGGTTTTCAATAATCTTAAAGGGAAAAACTGCTCTCACTAATTTAAAATTTTTAAAAATTATTTGGTGAGTTTAAACAACCTTTTCACGTAGTGTCTATTCTACCTGGTCATAGAACACAGATTAAAAATTAATTCCCCGTTAATTCACAATGCATACTCAGCATCCTTCTTGTTGGTTAATCAATACAACTTCCTCAAGTGTTTCAACATAATTATTTTCATGGCTATAACCTTTAACTGTTGTTTCATGTTTAATTTTGTGTTTTCAGCAGATTTCCTCAATGGTATTATGGGCTTTTGTTGTTGTTTTTACTTGGTCTATTTGTTGTAGACTTTCCCAAAGCATTCTCTTTACTCTAGCTTCAAAACAAAAGCATGCAAGCCATTCCAGATCGAGGAAAAAAACTCTACTAAAGGTTACAAACAAATACTGTTCTATTCCTTAAAAAATAGAAACAGAAGGAAAAACATAAGCACACAAGTTTAACTAATTTAGGAGGTGAGAAGGCACCATTCTCCAGCATCCTGGAATGCTCCAGAAGAACATGGGCCATTTGTAGAAAATGTTATTTGCTTTACTCCAAACTGGAAATATTTTTATTTATTGTTTTTATTTACTACAAAAGCATTTTTATTTGAAAACATTCAACAACCACAAAAATATTTAATGTTTTATATAATCCTGTTTTCCAGCAATAAGAAACAATAATTTGGTATATATGTGTCTGGATTTTAATGCGCATATAAATATTTATTAAAAATTATAAATGGGGCCCAGCTGGAGTGGCTCAGTGACTGAGCATCGACCTCTGAACCAGGAGGACTCGGTTCGATTCCCAATCAGGGCACATGCCCAGATTGTGGGAGGCAGCCAATCAATGATTCTCTTTCATCGTTTGATATATATCTCTCTATATATATATCTCTCTCTCTCCCTCTCCCTTCCTCTCTGAAATCAATAAAAATATATTTTAAAAAATTATAAATGGGATATGTTCCATTCTGTAATTTTTTTCACTTTACTAGAACGTCGTAGAATATTTCCATGAAGTAGATTCCTTTGCTAATGGAAGCATGGCAGCCCTTTGGGCAGATGTACTATGATTTAAACAATCCCCACTTATGAGCATGAAGGTTGATCTCAAGTTTTTGTTTTCATAAATAATGTTGCAATAAACATTTTTGTGTATGCACACGCACATAAATATACTTGTCCAATTATTGCCTTCAGAGAAATTCTGGATCAAAGTAGAAATTCCATTTTCTATTTTAAACATATTGCCAGACTACCCTCCAGAAAAACTGTACCAATTTATACTTCTTCTAATTATGTTGTTACAACCTGGCACACATTGGTCATTTGTAGTTATTTTTATCTGATAGTGAAAACTAGTTTTATTAGTATTACCATTTCTTTAATATTCTATGAAGTTGAACATTTTTTTAAAATAATTTTGCCTATTTATATGTTTTTTTTTTTGAGTTGCTCATTCATGTTCTTTGCCCACTTTCTTATTGGATTATTTGTCTTTTTTTTTTTTACTGACTTAGTTCTTGCAGATCTCAGCCCACTCTGTTAAAAATACTACAAATATTATATAAAGTATATGACTGTCTTACCACTTTGCTGAACACATGACACTAATACAAAATAATATTAAATGTATAGTGTAATTCAAAAAATAAAAAAATTAAAAAGAAAAATTCAAAATAAAAAATACTATGGAATTCAAAAAAAATCAAAAAGAAATACTATAAATATTACTTCTAACTTATTTTTTGTTTGCATTTGCCAATCTGCCTTTTAACTTTTGTGGTATATTTTTTTAACACAGAAATAATTAATTCTTAAGTAGTTTTATCAACCTATCTTTTAATTTATGAATTTTGAGATTATATCATTTTTAGAAAAGCCTTCTCCATGGCAAGATTTTATAGGTAATCTGCTTTTTTTACACTCTTGTGGTTTCATTTTTTTATAGCATTTATACTTTGAAATAATATATAGCTCTGAGTTCATCTCATTACATGAACAGATGAATTGATAGCTAAACATATTTATTCTATTGCTACATGTAGATTATGAGCCATAAATAAAATCTGACTTTTATCCACTCCATTATCTGTTCACCTGTGATGACCCTATTCAACTGTTCCTTTATTTCTTCTACTGACCAGTCCTAAAGAACATAGTATATAAAACCAGTACTTTTACATAATCAATTTTCAACTGCTAGTATTCTCATGTTTTATATAGTTGGGTTAAAAAAAAAACTCTAATCTATATATTCTTTGCTTAGACATATTATCTGAAGAGAAAAATATAATAATTCAGTTTTAGAGACCCCAATTTGGATTATGGTGCACACACATATACAGACACACACAGAAATGCCTATAGGTAAAAACAAACACATTTCATACTTACCTTCCAGACCAAATCCAGGTATCTAAGTTTAGATAGTGCAAATCATTCATCCTAGTTTGCTAAAATAAAAGTGTGTTAAACTGGTCAGTGTTTTACATCTTTCATAAGCTAAAATTTTGTTTTTAAAGTAGTTTTTATTAAAAGTAGATTATCTCTATTTTACTTAAGATCATAAGTTTATATATTGGGAAACAATGCTTAGCACTAATAAAGTTAACATAGAGCTATCAAATTAATGTGTCAAGGGGGAAAGGAAGAAATGAGTTTAAACTAACAGGATTTAGATGATAAGAAATGAAACTTTTCTAATAATACACTAAAGTGAAGGATTCTCCTCATTAAAATGTGATTTATCTGTGATGATTCATGTATGGTCTGTTTGGGAACAGAGGATAAAAGTTATTGAAGGACACTATTATTTCTAGATTTTTTTAATGTTCAGTTGTTCTATAAATTCAGAGGATATGTTCTTATAAGAAGCATCACACATAAAAAGATTATACTAACCAAAACACGTCCACCAAAGATATAGCCCTTATTTCCAAGGACTGCACACGCATGTGCGGCTCGTGGCTGTGGTGGGACTCCACCCTGCAAGCAGAGACCAGAAAACAGTGCAAAACTTGAAACTTGTGAAATCACACTCTTATGCTTAGCATGAAAAATACGTGACTGCTAAGCTACCACTACCTATGTAATTCCATTAGAAAGCCTAATGTGAATTCCACTCTAAATCAGTGATTTTCAACCGCGGTGCCGCAGCAGGCACACTGGTGTGCCACAAGAATTTTTAAAACATGCAATACCTGACTTTTTAGCCAGGGACACTGACCTCTTCTTTCTTAGATTATGAAATTAAAACACTGACACCCTAGCTGGTTTGGCTCAGTGGAGAGAGCATCAGCCTGTGGACTGAAGGGTCCTGGGTTCGATTCTGGTCAAGGCACATGCCTGGGTTGCAAGCTTGATCCCAGTGTAGGGCTTACAGGAGGCAGCCAATCAATGATTCTCTCTCTCTCTCCCTCTTCCTTCTTCTCTAAAATCAATAAAAATGTATTTTAAAAATATATTATTTTTTTAAAAAGGATTACTTGTTTTTTAAAAAAATGACAACAGCTGTTGTTCAGTGGTTAGAGCACTGGCCCACACACCAAAGGGTGGTGGATTTGATTCCCAGTCAAGTGCACATACCTGAGGTTGCATGTTTGATCCCAACCCTGGTTGGGGCACGTGCGGGAGGCAACCAATTGATGTGTCTCTCTTACATTGATGTTTCTCTCTCTCTCCCCTGCTCCTTGCCTCCCTCTACTCTCTCTCTAAAAATCAATGAGGAGAAAATGACAACAGTCGCCACAACAATAGATGTCTGGTGTGAATAGATCAAAATTATATGAAATTTTTTTGTAAGATTAGCAAAAAATATATATATGGTGTGTTGCAGAATTTTAGTAATTAGTTCATGCATGCCATGAAATGAAAAAGGTTGAAAATTACTGCTCTAAATAGTAAGATACCTCATTTTATTGTGCTTCACCTTATTGCGCTTTGTAGATATTGCGTTTTTTTATAAATTGAAGGTTTGTGGCAACTCTGCATCAAGCAAGTCCATCAATGCCATTTTTCCAACAGAATTTGCTCACTTCGTGTTTGTGTCACATTTTGGTAAGTCTCAAAATATTTCAAACTCTTTTTATTATATTTATTTTTATTTATTATCATACCTAATAAAAGGCAAAAAGGGTAATTAACCGTACCTCCGCTATGCTTCCCATTGGCTAATCAGCAAGATATGCAAATTAACTGCCAACTAAGATGGCGGCCGGCAGCCACGCAGCTGAAGCGAGCAGGAGGCTTGCTTGCTCCAGTGATGGAGGAAGCCAAGGTTCCCCGCCTGCCGCGGCCCGGCTCTGAGCTCCGAAAGCAATAGCTCCAAAAGCAACAAAGTTTCAATTTGGAAGCCAAACACACCCCAGATACCTGCTTTCAGTAGTCCGTGGCCTCAGAGCTGGGAGCGCCAGTGAAGGCAACAGTGTTTCAATTATAGAAGGTAAATAAATCCCAGAATAAAAAAGAAAAAGAAAAAAGGAGAGGCTGGGAGCTTCAGTTGCCGGCCAGCCTGAAAATGGCCCTCAGCCCCTCACCCAGACTGGCCAGGCACCCCAGTGGGGACCCCCACCCAGAAGGGGGTGTGACCAGCTGCAAACAGCCATCAGCCCCTCACCCAGGCTGGCCAGGGACCCAAGCGGGACCCCCACCCTGATCCGGGACACCCTTCAGGGCAAACCAGCTGCCCCCACCCATGCACCAGGCCTCTATCCTATATAGTAACAGGATAATATGCAAACTGACCCTAACAGCAAAAGGACTGGGAATGACTGGTCACTATGACACACACTGACCACCAGGGGGCAGACACTCAATGCAGGAGCTGCCCTCTGGTGGTCAGTGTGCTCCCATATGGGGGAGCTCTGCTTAGCCACAAGCCAGGCTGATGGCTGCCAGTACAGCGGTGGTGGTGGGAGCCTCTCCTGCCTCCTCAGCAGAGCTAAGGATTTCCGACTGCAGCTTAGGTCTGTTCCCCGCTGGCAAGTGGACATCCCCCGAGGGCTGCCGGGCTGCCAGAGGGATGTCTGATTGCCAGCTTAGGCCCAATCCCCCGGGGAGCAGGCCTAAACCAGCAGGTGGTCATCCCCCGAGGGGTCCCAGACTGCGAGAGGGCACAGGCCGGGCTGAGGGACCCCCCCCCCGAGTGCACAAATTTTTGTGCACCGAGCCTCTAGTTATTATTATAAAGATTCGTGCAATAGGCTTTCCTTTACCCTGGCTTCCGGCACCGGTTTTCCTCCAGCACCCGGGACCCAGGCCTTCACTCTGGCCGAAGCCGCCTTCAAGCCTTCGCTGCCCCGTCCGACCACTCAGGTCAGGTCACACATGGGACACCCGGGCGGGCCGGCAGGGTGTGGCCGCTACTGCCACACCCGGCTGTCCCGGGTTGGGTTGCACACAGGACACCAGCTGCACGGGGTCACAGATAGCAGGCCCGGATGGTGGCAGGGCAGGTGAGATGACGCTGTCTCAACCTGCCTGCAGTATGCAAATTAGCCACCATCTTTGTTGGTGGTTAATTTGCATATCATGCTGATTAGCCAATGGGAAGCATAGCAAAGGTATGGTCAATTACCATGTTTGTCTATTATTAGATAGGATTTGTTATGGTGACCTGTGATCAGTGATCTTTGATGTTACTGTTGTAATTGTTTTGGGGGTGCCAAGAAAAGCACCCATGTAAGACAGCAAACTTAACAGATAAATGTTGTGTGTGTTCTGACTGTTGCTCCGACTGGCCATTACCCATCTTTGTCCTTCTCCTCAGGCCTTCCTATTACCTAAGACACAACAATATTGAAATTAGGCCAATTAGGAACCCGAGAATGGCCTCTAAGTGCTCAAGTGAAAACAAGTGTCACATGCCTCTCACTTTAAATCAAAAGCTACAAATGATTCAGCTTAGTGAATAAGGCATGTCAAAAGTGGAGATAGATCGAAAGCTGAGAGAAGCTGAAAGCTAGGCTTCGTGTCCCAAACAGTTAGCCAAGATGTGAACGAAAATGAAAAGTTCTTGTCCTAGCCGGTTTTGCTCAGTGGATAGAGCGTCAGCCTGCAGATTGAAGGGTCCTTGGTTCGACTCTGGTCAAGGGCACATGCTCAGGTTGTGGGATCGATCCCCAGTAGGGGGCATGCAAGAGGCAGCTGGTCAATGATTCTCTCATCATTGATGTTTCTACCTCTCCCTTCCTCTCAGAAATCAATAAAAATATATTTAAAAAAAGAAAAGAAAATGAAAAGTTCTTGAAGGAAATTGAAAGAGCTACTCCAGTAAACATATCAATGATCAGAAAGTGAGACGTTCTTATTGCTGATATTCAGGAAGTTTTAGTGATCCAGAGATAGGATCAAAGCAGACCAAACATCTCGTAAGCCAAAGCCTGATACAGAGCAAGGCCCTAACTCTCTTCAATTCTATGAAAGCTGAAAGAAGTGAGGAAGTTGCAGAAGAAAAATTTAAGGCTGGCAGTGGTTGATTTGTGAGGCTTAAGGGGGAAAAAGCCATCTCCAAAACATAAAAGTGCAAGGTGTAGCAGTAAATGCTGATGCCGAAGTTGCAGCAAGTTATCTCGAAAATCTAGCTAAGATATTTAATGAAGGTGGCTATTCTAAACCATATATTTTCAATGTAGACAAAACAGTTTTATATCAGAAGGAGATGCCATCTAGGACTTTCCTAGCTAGAGAAAAGTCAATGCCTGGCTGCAAAGCTTCGAAGGACAGGCTAAATGCAGCTGGTGACTTTAAATTGTAATCAATACTTGTAGACTACCTGAAAATCCTAAGACCCTTAAGAATTATGCTAAATCTACTCTGCCTGTGCTGTATAAATGGAACAACAAAGCCTGGGTGACAGCACATCTGTTTACAATATTGTTTACTGACTATTTTAAGCCCAATTTTACTGTTGAGACCTACTGCTCAGAAAAAAAGATTCCTGCCCGTGTGACTCAGTGGTTGGGTGCCAACCCATGAACCAGGAGGTCATGGTTCAATACCCATCAGGGCACATGTCTGCTTGTGGGCTCCATTCCCAGTAGGGGGTATGCAGGAGGCTGATTCTCTGTCATCACTGATATTTCTATTCCTCTCTCCCTCTCTCTTCTTCTCTCTGAAATCAATAAAAAAATATTTTTTAAAAAAATAAAAGGAAGCTACTCCTGATTTTAGGCTGCCAGGAGCTCATGTGGCATAAAAAAAAAAGATTCCTTTCAAAATATTACTGCTCATTGAAAGTGCAACTGGTAACCCAAAAGCTCTGATGGAGATGTACAGTGAAATTATGGTTGTTTTCATGCCTGCTAACACAGCATCCTTTCTGCAGCCCATGAAGGAATAATTATTTAAGAAATACATTTCATACAGCTATAGCTGCCATATTGTGATTCCTTTGATGAATCTGGGCAAAGTAAATTGAAAACCTTCTGGAAAGGATTCCCCATTCTAGGTGCCATTAAGAACATTTGTAATTCATGAGAAGAGGTTAAAACATCAACATTAACAAGAGCTTGGAGGAATCTGATTCCAGCCCTCATGGATGACTTTAGGGGTTCAAGACTTCAGTGGAGGAAGTAATTGCAGATGTGGTGAAACAGCAAGAGAACTAGAATTAGAAGTGGAGCCTGAAGATGTGACTGAACTGCTGCAATCTCATGATAAAACTTTAACAGATGAGCAGATGCTTCTTATGGATGAGAAAAGTGGTTTCTTGAGATGGAATCTACTCCTGGTTAACATACTATGAAGACTGCTGAAATGACAATGAAGCATTTAGAATGTTACATAAACTCAGCTGATAAAGCAGCAGTGTTTAAAAGGATTGGCTCCAATTTTAAATAAGTTCTCCTCTGGGTAAAATGCTATCAAACAGCACTGCATGCTACAGAGAAATCATTCATGAAAGGATGAGTCAATTGATGTGGCAAAATTCACTGTTGTCTTGTTGTAAGAAATTGCCACAGCCACCTAACCTTCAGCAACCACCACCTGATCAGTCCTGATCAGTCAGTAGCCATCAACATCCAGGCAAGACCCTCCACCAGCAAAAAGATTAAAACTTGCTGGAGGCTCACATGAGGTTAGCATTTTTTAGCAATAAAGTATTTTTTAGTTAAGGTATTTTTTAGATATAAAGTATTTTAGATACAATATTATTGCACACTTAATATACTGCAGTACAGTGTAAATATAATTTTAGATGCTCTGGGAAACTAAAACATTTGTGTGACTCACTTTACACAATACTCACTTTATTACAGTGGTCTGAAATCTGTAATACCTGTGAGGTATGACTATACTCTTCAAGAACGAAATTTATTTGCCCTAGCCAGTTTGGCTCAGTGGCTAGAGTGTCGGCCTGTGGACCAAAGGGTCCTAGGTTCAATTCTAGTCAAGGGCACATACCTCGGTAGCAGGCTCCTCCCTGACACGGGCCCTGGTCAGGGCTTGTGCAGGAGGCAACCAATCGATGTGTTTCTCTCACATCAATATTTCTCTCTTTCAGTCTCTCTCTAAAAAAACCAATGCAAAAATATCGTTGGGTGAGGATTTTTTTAAAAAGAGAATGAAATTTATTCACACAGATCTTTACTTTTTAAGGCATTTTTCTTAAATGCCTGAGACTATTTAGCAAAAATAATATTCTGTGTAAGTTTTAGCTTAAAAATAAGGATTTTTTAAAAAAATATATTTTATTGATTTTTTACAGAGAGGAAGGGAGAGAGATAGAGAGTTAGAAACATCGATGAGAGAGAAACATCGATCAGCTGCCTCCTGCACATCTCCTACTGGGGATATGCCCGCAACCCAGGTACATGCCCTTGACCGGAATCGAACCTGGGACTTTTCAGTCCGCAGGCCGACGCTCTATCCACTGAGCCAAACCGGTTTCGGCTAAAAATAAGGATTTTAAAATGACATTTTAAAAGATTCTCTTTCTCCCCTCTTCCTTCCACTCCCCCTTCTCACGCACACATACACACACAAAGTTAATATTATTAAGTGAGCAATGCACAGTGTGATGATCCCAGAGACTCTAAAAAATTAAATCTGACCCCCAGAACTCTTGGTGCTTCAAATGCCACAATAAAAATTTCTTTTTTTGGCTTATACTAATAGTACTTTATCTCTTCCTAAAACTCTTCACAATAACTGGTAATACTTCTCTATTCTTTGAACAAATATATTAGATATTTACTTCAGAGAAGTTTTGGATTGGTGGGAAAAGAGAGAGTGTAATGAGTAGATGAATAAGATTTGAAGGAAAAATCTTATGCATAATTTTCAAGTGTTCCTGGTGGGTGTCTTTGTGTATGTATTTCATTCCAAGTTCTGAAAGAACCCTACATTATCAGCTCATTGGCTACCAATTGTGAGCATAGGAAACTTAAGCTCTACATCCAATATCATAACTCCCTAGACTTCTCAGGTTTATCTAGTAACTGTGCTGAAGTCAACATGGTAAGAAATAATTCAGATAGTACCTACAGAATACTTACATAAATGAGAGAGAACCATTTGAGCTGTGGTTCCGTCTTTCCAGCAAAACAATATTGTCATTTTTACCCCATCTCTTATCTGAAATTTGGAATAATTCTTCTACTATAAATATACTAGAGGCCCGGTGCACGAAATTCGTGCACAGGGGGCAGGGGGATCCCTCAGCCCGACCTGCACCCTCTCCAATCCGGGAGCCCTCAGGGGATGTCCTACTGACAGCTTAGGCCCGCTCCCCATGGTTCTCTGCTGTCTGCGGGGCCCGCTTGGCCGCTCTCAGGTCGGTGCCGGCGACAGCTAAGCAGGCCCTGCTGTGTGCGGTCTGGGGGGCCTGCTTGGCCGCTCCCGGGTCACCACGGGCGATGGCCAAGCAGTCCCTGCTCTCAGCGGCCGTCCCCCAGGACTGGAGGACTCCAACGGGGCTGAGAGGACTGGACACTGCCATCTTGTGGCTATGGGCACTGCCATCTTTGTGTCAGAGTGATGATTAATTTGCATATTACTCTTTTATTAGATAGGATTTATTATGAAATAAATATTGAATTTCTCCTTTTAACATATAAAATACATTTAGTAGCAAACCAAAGCTTCTGAATAAACTGAGTTCACACAACTTCAAACAAAAACAAAGAAATAACATTTGTATTAATGTGTGTGCCTAACTGCATAAGTAATGCACAATGTTTATTAGGTTGTTTGAAATACTGAAAATAACTCAAAGATCCCTGTTATTAGTATATTGCTCTTACAGAGGTAAAAACCCCATGAAGGAAAACATTTCCAACTTTCCATTTTACAGATGACACACTAAATGGCTTGTCTAAAGCACACAGGTCTTTCATGACACAATTAGAATGCAAATTCAGGTAGGTGGTGGGTGGAGGTGGAGGAGGGCATAGAAGGGATAAATAGTGATGGAAAAGAACTAAAATAAAATAAAGAGAAAAAAAATACCCCAAAAATGCAAATTTAGTTTTTTCAACTTCAACAGCAATAATTGATACCCTCTACCATGTCCTTTTCTAGAACTAACAGTCCTTTTCTGGCACCAAAAGGAAGAACTGCTTGTGTGCCCGGGGCCATAATCCCTCCAAAATGAGCCATCCAGTCTGCAGTAAACAGAATAAAGCTAGCATACAACGAGAAATGGGGAGGAGCAGACAAAGAGAGATGGAAAGTGTTGGTGTTGAGTAACTTGCTCCAGTTCCTGATCCCCACAGCTTTCTTCCACTGTGTGAGCTCCTCCATAATATACTTCTCAGCTGTGAGAATTCACTGCTGCTTAAATGAATTGGATTTCTGTTTGCTTACAAGTATATGAAAGAATATTAATAATGTATTTTTGCCATGCTACAATTGCATATAGACCTGATTTCAACGGTTTAGAAAACATGGGTTTTTACAAATCCTGCACTTGGTTTACAAAAGGACTTTTTAAAAGAACCTTCCTGCCCTGACTGGTTTGGCTCAGTGGATAGAGCATTGGCCTACGGACTCAGGGGTCCAGGGTTCGATTCCAGTCAAAGGCATGTACCTTGGTTATGGGCACATCCCTACTGGGGGATGTGCAGGAGGCAGCTGGTCCATGTTTCTCTCTCATCGATGTTTCTAACTCTATCCCTTTCCCTTCCTCTCTGTAAAAAAATCAATAAAATATATATATTTTTTAAAAAAAGAAAAAAAAGAAAAGAACCTTCCTTAAATCAGGGCATCACACTTGTAGGTAAACAATAATGATTGCACCTCTTTACAAGCTTTTTCTAGAAAACCCTTAACTAATCCGGAAAAAAATATGTGATAAAAAATTAATGGTATTAGTGATAGTACTCAAGAGAAACCCTGTGTATGTGATTACAAACTCAATTATTAAAATCCAAGCAACTTAATAAAAATGTATTTTAAATGTATCAATAAATATAAAAATAACATTTTATATTACTTACTTTAATTTCTGGTTGAAACCAATTCTGTGTCTTTGTGTCAAATACATGAACATCATTATGCCATCCCCAGAATATCTGCTCTTCCTAAAACAAATTTTTTTTAATATATAAAAGATTTTATAACTTTTAGGTTACTGTTATAGTTTTATTGAATATTTACTGGTTAAATAATAGACACTTTTACAAAAATAAAGCTGTTACCATACTCATAAAGCTAATGCATGCAGCAGTGGCTCGCAAAGTGCGGCCCCCGACCAGAGCAGTGTCACTCAGCAACTTCTCTTCTCACAGTCTCGCTTGCAGGATGTCATAATTTACTTGTTAACAACTGTCCAATTCCCTCAAAGGATTGTCTCTTTTAAAATTGCAGAGGACAGCCCTGGTTGCTGTGGCTCAGTTGGTTGGGCATCATCCCATGTACATAAAGATTGCCAGTTTGCTTCCGGATCAGGGCACATGCCTGGGTTGCAGGCTCAATCCCCGGTAAGGGGCATGCAGGAAGCAGCCAATCAATAATTCTCTCTTATCATTTATATTTCTCTCTCTCTCCCTCTTCCTTTCTCTCTCTCTAAAAAAATCTTAAAAAATAAAAATCTTAAAAAATAAAAATAACATTACAGAGGATATTTATATTTTAAAATCTGTTTTTCTAAAGTACATGCTTAGAATCCCTAATCTTTGCTATTAGAAACTTTAGGTGACTATGAATCCTTTTTCAAAAAAGTTACAATCAACTCTACTTAACCAAGCAATTTGCTCTTATAGGTAAAATTTGCTCACTTTCTTCTTTCTCTTCTAAGAGATAAAAATATCATCAAAGCAAAGATTTAGCAGTTATATTGTATTTAGAATCTTCCAGATTGCTAAAATCCTCTATTGCAGCTTATCTCTATACCAGATTTATCTGTAGGTGAGGAAAACATCATTGTTGTCAGGACTTGTCAAACTAAAAATTTTACTTAGTTCAGAATCTAAACCAAAAAAATCCACTATACATCAAAAATTTCAGAACATGATCATTAGCCTAACTGTACTAAGAGAGAAAAAAATGAGAGATTTCACTGATGAGTAAAAATAGATCTAAACAATGGGAAGTTTTATTTCTGAAAATTATCAATAATACTATTAAGTAGCAAAGCTTTAAAAATATTTCATATTAAAAGCTAAAAAAATGTAAAGACATGGAAAATTTTTAAAATACCCACATACAAGGACATATACACAAAATGTTCATATACATTAATAATGTACAATAATAATGTATGCTAGTAAAAGGTAAAACTGAAGAGTTACTGTGCATCTTGGTGGATCAATTTTTTTAAGTTATCTTTTAAAATATTTCATTTTTATACATTATGACTACTTTTATTAATTATAGCTTATCCTCTAACCAGTAAGATTAAGTAGGAAATGAATATCACTACTCACTCACTCCTGAATAAGAGTTACAACTAGTTCTAGTACACATATCTAAAAGCAGGTATATGTCAGCAATAGCCATTCTGGTTACCTATGGGCAAGTTTTTCTCAGTTGCGCTAACGCCTCTACTTGTCTAACAGAAGCCTCTACTTGTGTTTCAATAGGTATAAGTGATTAACTATGTAAGAAAAGAAATTACTCTTTCAGTAGCCATGAAGGTGATAGAACTTCCTCTAATTGAATCCAAATTCAAAAGAGAAAACACTTTTTTTTTCATAGTCAATTATAGAAAATGAAAATGAGAAAGAGTGGGCTCATTATTTCTAAAAACTTTAAGATAACAAACACTAAATTAGAGGAAAATGTAAATGGTGATTACTCTCTTACCCAAGATGCATCATGAACATCAAAACAGTCTTGGAGTTCATTGTGTCTCCTACACCCATAGCCACCAAAATATATTAATCTGAAAAACAAATACAAAAGGAGACACTTAGAAGTTCTACTTCCACTTTGTTCATAGACAATTGAATGAGATAATTTCTCTCACCCTAACAACCTAAATAAGCCAGAGATAGTCATGTGCCATATAAAGACATTTCAGTCAATGACAAACTGCATAAATGACAGTGGCTCCATCCGATTGTAAGGGAGCTGAAAATTTTATATCACCTAGCAGTGTTGCAGACATAATGTTATTGTGCAACATATTATTCACGTTTGTGGTGATGCTGGTGTAAACAAACCTACTGCACTGCCAGTTGTACAAAAGTATGGCACGTACATTATATACAGTACATACTACTTGATAATAACAACTATGTTACTGTTTATGTATTTACTATACTATACTTTCTATCATTATTTCAGAGTGTACTCTAATTATTTTAAAAAATGTTGTGCCCTGGCTGGTTTGGCTCAGTGGATAGTGTCGGCCTGTGGACTGAGGGGTCCCGGGTTCAATTCCAGTCAAGGGTATGTACCTTGGTTGCGGGCATATCCCCAGTAGGGGGTGTGCAGGAGGCAGCTGATCAATGTTTCTCTCTCATCGATGTTTCTAACTCTCTATCCCTCTCCCCTCCTCTCTGTAAAAGAAAAAAAAGAAAAAAAAATCAATAAAATATATTTTTTAAAAAATGTTGTAAAATGGTAATGCCATGTTATGCTGGAAGCAGCCTCGTACATATTGTGTTTATGTAGTCTCTTAATTGCATCATTTTCTCTTGTGCTTGATTTAATCTCATGTCTTTTATACAGTAACACACAGTACAAGCTTGTAGTCTAAGAGCAACTGGTTATATCATACTAGAGGCCCGGTGCATGAATTTGTGCAACAGTGGGGTCCCTCAGCCTGGCCTGAGGGATCGGGCCAAAACCGGCTCTACAACACCTCCCCAGGGGTCCTGGATTGCGACAGGGCGCAGGCCAGGCCGAGGGACCCCAGTGGTGCACGATCAGGGCTGGAGAGGTTGGCTAGCCAGGGAGGGACCACGGGATGGCTCCAAGGTGTGTCCAACCCGTCATGCTCAGTCCCAATTGACTGGACCCCAACAGCTAGCTAACCTACCGGTCAGAGCATCTGCCCCCTGGTGGTCAGTGCATGTCATAGTGACTGGTCGACCAGTCAACTGTCTGCCCCCTGGTGGTCAGTGCATGTCATAGCAACCTGTAGACCGGTCAACTGTCTGCCCTCTGATGGTCAGTGCACACCATAGTGATCGGTCGACTGGTCAACTGTCTGGCCCTGGTGGTCAGTGCACATCATAGCAACTGGTCAACTCTCTGCCCCCTGGTGGTCAGTGCACATCATAGCGAGCGGCTGAGTGGCCCTAGCATATCATTAGCATATTATGCTTTGATTGGTTGAATGGACGACTGGACACTTAGCATATTAGGCTTTTATTATATAGGAGTAGAGGCCTGATGCACAAAATTCGTGCAAGATGCTCAGCCCCCACCATCGTGGCAGCTGCCTCTGCCGTGGCCCCCGCCTGCTGCGGCTTCATCTGGAAGGATGTCTGGTCTAATTAGCATGTTACACTTTTATTATTATAGATAGCCTAGGTATGCAGTAGGCTATATCATCTAGGTTTGTATAAATACATTCTATGACATTTGCACAATGACAAAATTGCCTAACAACATATTTCTCAAAATGTATTCCCATCATTAAGTGCTGCATGACTATAAACTACAAAACCATAGTTTAAAAAAGTCAAAGTGCTAAAGGAACAAAAAGACCTAAATGAACTAATTCCAGGAAATGATGAGCTTTCAATAGGAGAGAAGAGATTCGTGGCTGCTTTCATTCCTGGTGTAACAGCAAGAGGAAGAAGAATCCAATATAGAAAACACTATACAAAAAACAACCCAAAATTTTAACAGCCACATGTAGACTGGCATCCTATCTAATAAAAGAGAAACATGGTAATTAGCGTACGTCCGCTACCCTTCCCATTGGCTAATCAGCGAGATATGCAAATTAACTGCCAGCCAAGATGGCGGCCGGCAGCCAGGCAGCTTGAAGCTAACATGAGGCTTGCTTGCTTCAGTGACGGAGGAAACCAACGTTCCCTGCCTGCCTTGCCAGCCTCTGAGCTTGCAGTTTGAAACATTGTTACAAATATAGAAGCTAAACAAAACCCCAGAAACCTGCTTTCAGCCCACCGGGATCTCAGAGCTGGAGTTGATACGGTGTTTCGATTATAGAACCCAAACAAACCAGATACCTGCTTTCAGCAGCAGAGGCCTCAGAGCTGGAGCCAGAACTAAAGCTGGCCCAGAATTTAAAAAAAAAGAAAAAAAGGAGCAGTTGGGAGCTTCAGTCACCTGCCAGCCTGAAAACAGCCCTCAGCCCCTCACCCAGACTGGCCAGGCACCCCAGTGGGGACCCCCACCCTGATCCAGGACACCCTTCAGGGCAAAACAGCCAGCCCCCACCCGTGCACCAGGCCTCTATCATATATAGTAAAAGGGTAATATGCCTCCCAGCACCGGGATCAGCGGAGCCGCGGGCCTCCCAGCACCAGGATCAGCGCAGCTGAGAGGCCTCCCGGCACTGGGATCAGTGTGACAGGGGGCAGCGCCCAAACCCCCTGATCACCCTGCGGCTCTGTGTGTGACAGGGGGCGGGACCACAACCTCCCTATCCGCCCTGCTCTGTTCATGACAGGGGAAGGCGCCCCAACCCCCTGATCAGCCCTGCTCTGTGCCTGATAGGGGGGAGCTCCCCAACCCCCTGATCACACTGCGGCTCTGTGTGTGACAGGGTACGGCGCCCCAACCCCCTGATCGGCCCTGCTCTGTGTGTGACAGGGTGCGGCGCCCCAACCCCCCACTCCATGGGCCCTGCTCTGTGTGTGACGGGGTAGAGTCATAACCTCCCCATCGGCCGTGCCCTGAGTGTGAGAGTGGCGGCTCCCCAACCCCAATCGGCCCTGCTCTGTGGGTGATAGAGGGCGGCGCCCCAACCCCCTGATCCGCCCTGCTCTGTGCGTGACAAGGGGGAGCTTCCCAACCCCCTGATGGGCCCTGCTCGGTGCGTGACAGGGTATGGAGCCCCAATCCTCCCTGATGGGCCCTGCTCTGTGCGTGACAGGGGCGGCGCCCCAACCCCCTGATTGGCCCTGCTCTGTGCGTGACAGGGGGTGGCACTGCAACCTCCTGATCCGCCCTGTTCTGTGCATGACAGGGGGCAGCGCCCCAACTCCCCAATCAGCCCTGCTCTGAGCCCGACCAGGAGCTGCACCTAAGGACTGGGCCTGCCCTCTGCCACCCGGGAGCAGGCCTAAGCCAGCAGGTCGTTATCTCCCGAGGGGTCCCAGACTGTGAGAGGGCACAAGCCGGGCTGAGGGACCCCCCCTCCCCGCCGAGTGCACAAATTTTTGTGCACCAGGCCTCTAGTAGTAAATAAGAATCTTAAAAAATTCAGGCACAGTGGGAGTTTTAACCCATTCAACAACTCTTTTGCATAGTCATCAGAGAGGGCTCATGATTAGTTAACAACAGCTGGAAGCAAAAGAGAGATGAGCAAAGCTTGAGGCAATTGGAGTTTTCCTCGGAAGTGTGGGAACAGGGAAGAGATCTGAAGGAAACACTTTAGAAGTACGCCAAACCATTATGGCATACAGGGTGACTTCCCCCAAAAGGCCAAAGGAGGAGGTGCAAGGCTGAAAGAGACCTCCCAAGGTACAGAAAGCTTAAGGTGGGAATGGAAAGCAAAGAGAACTCCCTAGTGACTTGAAGACCTACCAATCAGGCTAACAACACAGAAAGATCTCCCACAGTTCAGAGAGGTGGAAACATAGTTGTGAAGCTCAGCTGAAAATCTCTGGGTGATCTCTAATGCTCAAATATGCGGCTCTAACAAAGGAAAGTCTTGATCCTGCCTCAAAAATTTGAAACTAATAGTAAAATTGAATCAAACTAAAGCTACAACACAGCCCAAACACAAGTCAACTACAGATTACTAGTATATTGACTCAACTCACACTAACAGCTTAAATAAAGAAGGGCATTTCTTTTTCTGGTGATAAGTATTATTTATTCCAATATTTACTATTCTTTCACAGAGAATGTGTAGTACAGGGGTGGGCAACCCCTGGCACGTGTGCCAAACATGGCATGCCAGTAACTTTGCTGGCACGCGAAACCCTCTCTTATAATCTTCCATTTACAATTTTTTTCTTAATATCGACTTTTTTATTTTTCAGATAAATTCAGTGTAGGTGCATCTTAGTTAAATAAATAATTTTACATAACAAGTTATCTTAAAGACCATAGACATGGATGGACGAGAGAGGGGAAGAGCAATTTCTATGCCTCTGCCTTAACTCTCCCTGCCTTCCTAGATCCGACCAGTGTTTTGGTTTCATCCACATACGCTTGTGAATCTTTGTTCTCAGTGATGAATTTTGTTAAGTCTTGTAATAGGAGTAACCTGATGGATGAAAGTAGTAGCTCGTGCATATCTCTGAAGGTCACAAAATATAAACCTGATGTAAAATCTCTGTCATCAGTGATGCAGCAGCGAAAGTCCCACTGATAATATCAAACGGAGTCATAAAGTTTGCTGTTGGACTATCAGTGTAATAAATGTAAATAATGTATTTTTCATCATCATATACTGTGTTTTTGTCGCTCGAATGAATTTTATTATTTCTTCAAGGTTCTTCACATACGTACACCTTAAGGTGTAACATGTTCTCAAAAAATTAGGGTTGGCACGCAGAAAAATTTTGCGTCAGAGATTTTGCTGGTTTTGGCACACATTCACAAAAAGGTTGCCCACCTCTGGTCTAGTATATGATGAAAAAAATTATAAGATACACAAAAAGACAAAAAAAGTGACCCATGATTGAGAGAGGAGAGAATCACTATAAGCTGACACCAAGGTGGCCCAAATACTGGAATTAGACACTGCCTTTAAAGTAACTATGATAAAAATGCTTATGAACCTAGTTTATA